AAAAAGTCAACTTCATGTTGACCACCGTTTGGTCAACCGTTAACTTGAACGGTCAACGAAATTGTCAGGATACAAATGACACAAAGTATCATAGTTGAGGACATGAATGGAATATTTGATACAATAGGACACAAGTGACATTTTTGTCATAGTTCGGGTGTTGTAGTGGTATTAGCCCAAAAATAAACTAAAAACTTCAATAAAAAACAAAAAACAGTATCGTAAACTTTGGTGGGTTTCTATTCAACTTTTGAAGTTTGTTCCCTTTTCGGGCTTAATCAGATTATTTAAAATTATTATCGTACTAAAAAGATTATTTTATTTTTCCGCTGCATTGTTGTAATATTTTGACTAAAAATGTTAGTAAGTTAAATGATATATTAATTAAAATAATATAATATTCATGCTCTTTTGGCGCATTCAAATTATAATTCTCAAAGAATATACGCTTTTATGCTCCCGTTCTAGCTCCTGCTCTGCTAATTGGTAAACGAAATCCGTCGAGTCAATTCTGTAGACAAAGAGACTACTATCAGAATTCGCCTTCCATCACATATTGCCTTCCCTCCCAAGCACCCCCACGCTCAATTCTCACTTGGCCATTCCTCATTAGTTTAACATCTAACACACACCGGCGTCATAAGAGTGCGACCTTCGTCGCGTGATTAATACATGTTGTTGCAGTGCTTTTTAGGAGCTCGAAGGAGGATAGCGGAGAGTAGCAGATAGAGAAACAAATGTAGATAGTTCGAGCGAGAAAGAATATTATCCATATATAGATGAGATTTTATATAATTTATAAATATACAAACAATATAATGACTTCTTCATATATCCGGGCAAAAGCTGACTAAAATGAATGAACCGTTAACCCTAAACCCACTTAATCGGCTGGGCCAACGAACTAAATTGGGCTGACAACCTTTGATCTTTAAAATCCATACATTCTAAAAAATTTGGTGTTACAATTTTTATGATTGAGTCAAATCGATCAATAATTGTGGATTTTCAGAAAGTGGTTTAAATTCAAAAGTTGGTCTTCAAGTTTCTCTCGTGACAAAAGTTTTTGCGTTTAATTATTGTTGGGTTGAAGGAAAAGAAAGCGAAACAAATGGAGAATGTGACTGTAGCTATTAATTATCGGGAGTTGCAGATGGAGAAGATAAACCATAAAAGGGGCTAAATTTAATTTGATAATGCTTATATACTATATATTACAAGGACATGTTTGATTTGAAAAATAATAGAGGGATAGATTTGAGAAAGATGGATAAAAGAGTTACAATTTATGCTATTAACATGGAATGTCAAAGAGTATATTGGTATTGTAGAATTTAAGCTTTTATAATGTTTGGATTCTCTTAACTTTGGTACGTGCATTAGTATCTAACACTTAACAACCCCCACTTATTATTCAAACAAGCCTATACACTAAATCATAATAATTTATACAATAAGCATTATTTTTTCGTATTCTTCCATATTTGAGATTTTGACATAAACTTTTTTTATTCTCTTGATTGTTTTTATATACCTTCAATTTTTACCAATTCTAGATGACATATATTTCCTTCCAACACCAAATTTATATCCTATAATAAAAAGTCCACAAATTTCTTCTAAGATATAGGGGAAAATATACAAAACAGTAAACTAGGATGACTTGATAAAAACATACATATTAACTAATTATCGCCAATGTTATAATCAACAAATACCATAAAGATTAATTTAAAATAATGATTTAGCTATTTTAGAAAACCTCAAATTATTTTAAAACATGAAAAAATTGAGCAACATAAAATAAAATTCAACCGACCAACGGGTCAGGTAAATATTTTAAATATAATTTTAAATTAACTAATGTAAAAGATAAAACAAAACTCATTCGGTCAAGGAACGAGTAAAAGCTAATAATATATAAAGATGCAAATCCTAAGATCCTTCTATTTATTTCATATCCTCTCTCGCCGCACCCTTTATGGAGAATAAAAGGGTAAGGATGACAGGATCATAACTCTATATGGTTTTAGCAACCCATTATTCATAGATATTCGTACTTCTACTTCTTTCAAGCCGCAATCATTCCCAAATTCATTCAACATAGCTACCTCAGTTGGATTAACACAATTTATGATCCCCAATAAATTCTCAATAATAAGACTTCATTTTCCAATTAAAATGCATCACCTACTTTTTTAAAATAGCTAATTTATGTGATGTGTTTGCTAGAATGTCCATGATGAAACTCAACTATGAGGAGGAACATTACAGTTGTTATTAGTGCCTTTCTTTTAGGTTGTTAGTTACTGTTTAATAGAGTGTATTCATAACTAAAATTTTGTTATGATATCATTCATAAAAGGTTAATGGTAATGCTGAATTATAGTTGTATAGATGGGGTGTAGAACTGCTACTATACCTTGATTATATATTATGAGGTGCTTCTTTCCGACCTTTTGTTTATTTAAGTCATGTTTATTTATTGGTGCTTATTACCAAACATGTCAATCTCTTACTCTTGAACCTCCTTCAAGTGTATCAAAGTTGTATTGCTATTATGTAAAAATAAAAAGTACATCCCGAGCAAAGAATTAATTGTCACTCTAAAAGCCTCACTTGGTTGTAAAGAAAGGAAATAATCGCTCTACACCCCATCAATTCCTTAAAAGTTTATTAGCATAAAAAACGAAGTTGCAAAGCATTATTGAGAGTGTATTAAGATTTTTAATGGTATATTCGGTTTAGTCATACATGCAGTAAGATTGACAATAGTTTGAATGATGAGCTTCAAGCTATATGTACTTTTAAGTAGGGAAATATTACCATCGATTGGATGGTTTACTGAAACGGAAAATTCAACTCATATGTTTGGTAAGTTATACATTCATCAAATGGAAATTGAAAGTCATCTTTATTCAACCATGACATATGATACTTTGAACTTTATATGTAAAGTTGTTGCACTGAGTTGAAGGAAAAGTCATACTCTTATATAATTTGGCTTGAAGTAAAAGACAATGGCACTTAAAAACAATTACATAAAATAAAAAAGAATATACAAACAAATGAAGCATACCGCCCATCGGGCGGGCACAAAACTAATTTATACCACCTTGTTGTTACACTTGATACCACCATGATACGGACTAGTAATAACTGCATCTAGTTTTTTGTCTCAAAATATATCAAAGTGGGTATCATTCCGAGAAGTATGATTAATATGATTTTCTAAAAAAAAAAATTTCGCTTTAAACAAAAGAGTTATAACTAGTTAAATTAAATTGGAAAAAATAAAGTTACGGATTGTCATCCAATACTTAGTGAGGATCATATAGAAATTAGTTATTCCGAGAATCTGCTACTCATCTCTGGCTATATACTAGATATAGCTCGACTATGTTTGGCCCATTTTTAAGCTACAGAGCCAAATTTGACTTGTATGGTATAAAAGGTACAGCAGGGCCAAATTTGGCTTGTACGGTTTCGTGTAATACATATATATACAGGCCAAATATTTATACTATTTTAAGTGTCAACTTTATCACATGTTTCGAACAAATGTAAAACATGAATCCAAATAATGGTCATTTTAACAAAGTATTAATGAGCTTGACGTGACGTGACGTGCACACGTACATTTGTACTTGTGACTTGTGAGTCACGGTTACTCAAATACACTATCGGATGCTAACCTAAGCTCATTTCAAAATGAGCGTGAAAACAAAATTCCTGCTACCGTAATTAATTAACCCCGCGGCAGCCGGCGACGAATTAAGTTGCTTCCTCCGATCCTGGACTGCCTCAGTAGTCAGTACGTACTACTAGCTAGTCCTCCTTCCATAGTCCTCGTCTTTCTTGCCTCCAGTCTCCTTTCACGCTACAAAAGAAATCAGCAAACCTCGCCACCATATATAATTCATTTGAGGTTCAACCTTAAATAAGAAATGCAGCACGATCGAGCACGTATATGAAAAGAGAAAATGCACAATCCATGCAAACAAATTAAATTTGTGCACGCCTGGCCGATAAGTAGGGATGGGGGTATATCCATCCAATCCGGTTAAACCACATCGAAATGACCCAATTGATCGGATTGTATATTTATGTCAAAAATGGTGAATGAAAGTCGATCCCGAATGTTATATGTACGGTTTTGTTAGGACGGAGACAAGGGAAATGACCCTTGTATATTAGTGTTGATTTAAGCCCAATTAATATGAGATTTTTTTAGCATATGTGTTGATCAATGAATTGAACTCGTTGGGTATTTACCATTTTTTTAATTTAGAACCATTAGATCGTGCCCTATATTTTACCAATGTCTACAACCGTAATCTGAATATTAGATGATTTCATATGATATTACCTTCCGATTTCTGTCTTCTGATTCCCATCCCTATTGATAAGAACAAAAGAGTTTTTACTCACCCCCATCACATCGTTCCCACGTAGGGTAATATCAAATTTAGGCGACGTTCCATTTCTTGTTACAAACACGTAAAACTATTTTCCATTTACATATAGCTAAAGATCAAATTGAGTAATAAACTTATAAGTTTCAACAATCCAGCTAGCCGCACTCCACGTGGCACAACATCGTCTCGTAAAACCATGACACCAAAATATGAACCCCTGTAATTAGGGCTAAAATAAACTAAAAGTTTGTTGTTGTATCATAACTGCCCCATTTAATTTGCTAATCCCTAATCCCTTCCCTGCACACCACTCATCCATCCCACAAATTCAGCTCTCCATAAACCTCTCTCTCTCTCTCTCTCTCTCTCTCTCTCCTTATAGACAACAACCCCAACCCACACACCCACTCTCTCTCTCTCTCTCTAGAATTTGCCCCCAACAGAGAGAAACACTAATCCCATTTCCATCCCCATCTTTCTCCAAATCAAAATGCTTAATCCCAAGTAATCACATTCCTTATACAAACACAAAGAGTTAATCATCATCATCATCATCATCATCAAAGGGTGATCATCAGGAGAATGAGACCAACCACAAGCCACAGTTTCCAGCACGACGCTCATCACCATAATTACAATCAGGAAGCGACGAGGAGATCGAGCGCCGTTAATTGCCCTCCGCCGTTGAAAGTCAACAAGGACTCCCGCGCCATCATCAAGAATAAATCCTCCTCACCGCCACCGCCACCGCCACCGCCATACAATTCATCCGCCTCCCCGCCCTACTCCTCATCGTCATCCTCCGCCTCCTCCCTCGCCGTCGCGGGCTCCGCCAAACCGCCGCCGCAGCGCCACCCGGTCATAATATACACCCATTCCCCCAAAGTCATCCACACCCACCCCAGGGATTTCATGGCCTTGGTCCAGAAGCTCACCGGCCTCTCCCGCTCCGACCAAGACCCTGCCGCCGACCCTTCTCCCTCGTCCTCTCGTCGCCACCACCGCCGCCTCCACAACCACAAGTCAGGCGCCGGGCGTCGCAACGATGCGGAGGGGGAGAATCACAATATTATTAATAATAGCAACAATAAGATCGGCGGCGGGGGCGAGAACGAGGATAACGAATCTTCGTCGGTGATTACGGAGGAGAACTGCGGCGACGGACAGCAGGCGAATTCTTCGTCGAATACCTTTGTGCCTTCTTCGATTTTCGAATCTCCGCCGCCGAACCCCTACCACCAGCTGACGACGAACGTGCCGGTGTTTCCCCCGTCAGGCTCGGCCGGCGATCGTCATCTCTATTGTGGGACCCCCAATCCGGCGCCGTTCTTTAACTACACGGATCCTTTGTTTTTCGGGACGCCCAGTTTCAGGAACTTGGACGCCATTAATGATCACTTTCGTGACTTCTGATGCTCATTTTCCTGGCAGCCTTTTTGTTTGTTTGTTTGTTTTTTTTTTAATTTTCTTAATTAGGGTTTTTGCTCAGTTACATTTTGCGAGATTTACAACGGATTTCCCCCCTTTTTCCGATTAAATTCGTCGATTTTTTTATTATTATTATTTGGTTTTCTTGCCTATGGTGCTAATAACATTCCGTACTGATAGAATTGTACTATTTCCTTCTTTTTTACATCATTTTATAGAATAAAAGTTTCAACAAATAAAAAAATTGTGCATACGTTAACCACCAACTAAACTACGTATGGGAGAAACCACGGTAGCCAATCATTGCCCTTAAATTGGCACTAGAAGTCACGAAATATATGTTTTCAACGTAGGCAATATATGTTTAAAGTGACTATACCCGACTCTTAATCAAGAAATTTTGAATGTCGAATAAATCATTTAATCGATCATAGACATATGTTGAAAAACCTCAATAATTTGCTGTGGTTATCTATGATTATATAATTCTAAAATACTAACTATATATTGTAAGAAGTTATATTTATTCATGATTTTAACAATATATATAATATTTATTCATTGGCCTGCAAATATATCATTGGTCATTAGTTCACGTTTTAACAAATAATGAAGGATCTACTCATGTATTCATAACAAATTTGTAAAGCTGGTTTTCATTGCAACATCTAAAAGAAAGATTGATCTGCCGCACAAAACACTCATTTGAAGTAAAAATTAACTTGTTCATTAGTAGTATCATGCATTGTCCAATGGGCATCAAGTTTTTGCAATGTAATCCGAGAAATCATTTTCATGAATAGTAAGACTCTAGAATCGGTGTGTCGGACATGAATGATCTTAATTAGGCATTTTAGTTTACTATATTATTAAAAATTTGTGATGCCCAGAGAATGTGATGCATGCATGCCATTCCTCATATGACTTGTGCGAAGAAGAGGCTTGGAGATGAGTAATAGTTACGTTGTAGCCTAGGAATAGTGGATGGAAGCTGCATATTGATATCGTGAAAGAAAAACACAGATCAGGAGCAAGACTCATTGAAAACAGTTGCCTTAGTGTGAGGAACCAACTATGAGAAACATTTGTAAGCAAAATGAGTTTATTCTAACTACTTGAAAATGGAGATGCTTTCAGTATCATAGTATTTCACAATATAAAAAAGACAACTTTTGTATATGGTTGAAGAGAGATATGACTAGCTAGCATTAGCGGATACGGGGGCCCAGACTGGTCCCGGGCCCAGCCCTCCCTGCCTCCCCAACCCAAAGATAGAGCCATCCTAATTATACTACAGATTATTTGGGCCTAGCGCCAAGACCCAACATAAAAATATAAACCCTCCCAAGGCCCAGCCCCAAATCCCAATTGCCAATGAAATCCCGCCCTCTTTAGCCTTTCCCAGCAGGTAGCAAGTCTGGGACAAAAAATAAACAAAGGGGAGAACGAACAGACGGACAGACCTGCTGCTCTCCGCCTCCGCCTTCTCGAGACCCTGATCCAGCGCCGGCGATCCCCAACCCTGGCCTTCCTTTTTTCTCCGCGGCGGCGCCAAGGAAATTCCGCCCGCCAATCCCTTATCACATAGACACAGACTCACAGTAGAGTAGGCCGTCCTGGTTTGTGGTTTCTCTGCGACGGTTTGATCCTGGACGTTGGTTCTGGATAGAGATTTGGGGAACTCGATTGGATCATTAGCCTGATATAAGATATAACTGTTGTTTGTTGCTGTAAATTTAGGTGTTCCAACTAGACGACAACAACAACAACAACTTGTAAGGTAATTGCCTAATTGGTCCTAGTTACTTACTACTTTGTCTTATTTACTTAGAAACTAAGTTTGTACAATGCAATTATTCATTAAGACATTAACATAGAATTTCATATTAGGATTTCTCATATATCATACTCGGTAGAATTTGTATCCAAATTTACTTTATTACTTAGAATTTAGTGTTTGACTGTGTTGTGTATATGTTTAATTGATTATGCAGATTTCAAGATAAATCATGACATCTTCTCAACCACCAAATAAAAAGGCGAAAACAACATTGTTTTCTTACTATCAACGTAAGGAATCTGAATCATGTCAGACCGAAGAAGTCCCTCCTAATGAAGGTCAACCATCTTCCTCTCCAGTTCAGAATGAATCATCTACTTGTCCTGTATCCGGTAATCTACTTCCATCATCTGATAGTGGAGTTGAAATTGAAAGAGATTCAGGAAAGAGGAAACAAATATGTGATTGGGCTCTTGAGTTGAGAGATGAGGTTAGGAGAAAATACCTAATACACAAGGCTTATCAACCTAAACTCGCATACTATAAGCCGCGAGAATATCCAGATAAAATTCGTCACTTTCAAGAAGCATGGTATTCACAATTTGATTGGTTGGAGTATTCTCCTACAACACATAAAGCATATTGTTTCCCATGTTTTTTTGTTTAGAGACAAGATGAATGGGAATCAAACTTCTGCACTAGTGCAAAAGGGATTTGATAATTGGAAAAGGGTTAATGGTAAGAAATGTGTGTTCCTTGTTCATGTTGGTTCATCAGCTTCTTCAAGCCATAATAAATGTGTTACAGCGGCTGATGCCTTGATGAAACCCTCCGGTCATATTGATAAAGTGATGCACAGAAATGGTGGAGAAGAAGTTCTAAAGCATCGATTGCGGTTGAAAACAACAATTATGGTTGTCAAACAGTTGGCTTTACAAGGAAGTTCTTTTAGAGGGCATGATGAATCTGATGATTCTTTGAATCCAGGGAATGTTCTAGCTTGGATTGGTTTTGCAGCGAAGTTGAATGATCAAATCAATAGTGTAGTTCTTCGTAACGCACCAGGAAATGCGAAATACACTTCACCAAGCATTCAGAAGGAGATATTGGGAATCATATCAGATAGAGTGCGTTGTAAGATACGCGAGGAGATTGGAGATTCTTGTTTCTCTATTCTTGTTGATGAAGCAGTTGATGAAGCAGGAAGGGAACAGATGTCTATTATTTTGAGGTATGTCAGTTCTTCTGGTATAGTAACTGAACAGCTTTTTTGCTCTCAAGAGTGTAGCTGATACTTCTGCAGAAACACTAAAACAAGATATTTGTGACGTTCTCTCTCAGTATGACCTTCAAATTGAAAAATTGAGAGGTCAAGGATATGATGGTGCTAGTAATATGTCAGGACAGTTTAATGGAGTCAAGGCATTATTTCTTAGAGATTTCCCATATGCCTATTTTGTCCACTGTTTTGCTCACAAATTACAGTTGGCATTGATTACTTCTGCAAAGGTATGTGATCCTATATGGGATTTCTTTTCCATATTGGATTGTATCATAAACGTTGTGAAGGCTTCTCCTAAACGGACCAGGGAGTTGCAAGCAATTCACAAAAAAGATCTTGATGGTATGTTGGATGCTGGAGAAATTCAATCTGGACAAGGAGCTAATCAAATGACATCCTTAAAGCGTTCGGGACCAACTCGTTGGGGATCTCATTATCATTCCATATTGAGCATTATAAACATGTTCAATGCAACATGTGTAGTGCTAGAGGATCTTTGTCGTTCTAAAGAAGGAGAACAACGAGCTCAAGCTAGAGGTGCTTCAAAAAAGATCAAGACTTTTGAGTTTGTGTTCAATCTTCACTTGATGAAAGGGATTATGGATATCACGGATTTTCTTTGTCAAGCATTTCAACAAGAATCTGTTGACATTGTAGCTGCAGTTGGATTTGTTTCCATGGCAAAAGTTAAACTTCAAAAGCTACGGGATGAAGGATGGGACAAGCTACTCCAAGAGGTAAAATCTTTTTGCTCAAAACATGCCATAAAGGTACCTAATCTGAATGCTACACTTGGACGTGGTGAGAAGCAAACAACTCTTGAGCACCGCTACCATTTTGAATACTTTAATCAATGCATAGATTTTCAGTTGGGAATATTGAATTCAAGATTCAATGAGTCATCAGTCAGATTGCTTCAGTTGAGTGGTGCACTAGACCCTAAAAGTTCTTTCCGGTCTTTTGATGAAGAAAATATTTACAGACTTGCTGAAGAGTTTTATCCTCGAAACTTTGAAGGCAATGAGATGAATTGTTTGAAGAATGAGCTAGGATATTATGCCGATCATGTGGTTCATAGTCAGGAATATGATGTTTCTTCCCTTGCAAAATTACTAGAGAAGCTGGTGGAAACATGGATGGAGGCACGGTACAGATTGATTTGTCGGTTGATTCGTCTAGTGTTGACATTGCCTGTTTCAACGGCTACTACAGAGAGATCCTTTTCAGCAATGAAACATGTGAAGACTGATTTGCGCAACAAGATGGGCGATGAATTTCTTGCTGATTGCTTAACTATGTTCTTTGAGAGAGAGTATGTTATTGGTATGGATGAAGACTCAATTATTGACGAATTTGCTAAATTAAAAGACCATCGTGTACAATTAACATTGTAATGCAAACTATAATTTTTTTTGTTTACGGTATCTAATTTTATGTTCGAGTCCGGCCCAGTGCACTTCTATATCCTGGATCCGCCGCTGCTAGCTAGGACAGATATACAACACATTTTGACACTCAATTCATTTATAATAACGAACTTACTATGAGGTCGAGAAACAGCGGCAAACGTTCGGAGCTTTGACTGTAAAGGGTCATCAGACACCATCACTCTGTTTCCTTAATTATCTGTCCATTTGAGAGTGCAAAGAAATATACCTTCAAGGTAGTTAGATCGCCCATAATTATGCATGCATTAGTAAATTATGCTGATCGAGTCCTCCTTTGACATCACTGCAAAGTCACACAGACAATTGAAAGTCAGCATCTTAAGCAAGTCATGTCAACAAACTTGAAAGCTCAAGTGGGAAGAGCACATCCTGATAATTTTAAAGAAAAATTCACTTCTGTCAGAAACTCAGAGTGAGATCCATGTTATGGGATAATGGGACCTCATTTTGAGCAACTCCCATGCCAACCGCCAAAATTGTTCAAAAGAAGCTTGCAACTTTAAGAAGTGGATATAACTATTAGCTACAGATTATAAAGCAGGAAATTCCAAACACATTGATCGAATGGATTTAACTGTATAAGATCCTTTGATCAACAAAGCCTACAACAGTTATCATATGATGAGAGAAGTCCTCTGAAGGCGAATAATGCAATGTGAGAAGTGGTTATACACTGGCTGTATGAAAGCTAGAAGTCTTTATATCTTGCGTGAGCAACGAATATTAACATACCGTTTTGTATAAATGAATTCCATAAATTTTGAGAAATTCATTTTGAAATGAAATATTTTTCTGTTCGGTAATAAAAAGAATTCATTTTCAATTCTAAATTTTGAATTCTACGGAATTGAAACTAGTTATAGCAATTCCTACACTGGGTGTATGAAAGCTAGAAGTCTTTATATCTTGCGTGAGCAACGAATATTAACATACCGTTTTGTATAAATGAATTCCATAAATTTTGAGAAATTCATTTTGAAATGAAATATTTTTCTGTTTGGTAATAAAAAGAATTCATTTTCAATTCTAAATTTTGAATTCTACGGAATTGAAACTAGTTATAGCAATTCCGAGGAATTGAGATCGAATTTTCAAATGAATTCCACAAGTATTTACTAATAATAATAGAATGACATGATTATCCTCTTTTATTAACTAAATTACTTAAACATATGACATACCAAACACAGGAATTCATTTGACAATGAATTCAACACGATGCATCATTTTATTTCTAAAGATTTGAATATAACATACCACATAGGATTTCATTTGACAATGAATTCTACACGGTAATTTATTTTACAATGAAATGAATTCTCGATTCATTTGGTACCAAATAGTCTGTAAGAGAAGCATAAAAAAAACCAAAAGGAACCCTGAATTTCCATGAGACAAATAACTAGAGTTCTCAACACTAGAATCAAACAGTAACCGATTGAGTATCAAAGCGAGACAAAGTCCTGAAACTATTGGCGGACCCAGAAATTTTCCATAAGGGTTTCCTCTTTTAAAAAATAAATTTAATAAAAATAATTAATAAAAATAAGATTGTAAATATGAAAATACCTTACTCGTACAGGTTAAAAAAGTCCATGATCTGTTTTCGTATTCGAAAATAATTGTAGAATACACTTGGTGTCTATAGTGTCAAAAACAATTGTCTCTATATACTTACTAAACAATCATTCACGAACTTATCGCATATTCGATTTGTAAACTTGTTCTTGATGTAACTCAAAGCTGAAAGACTCTTTCAACACTTGTTGTACAATCATAAAATCAATACAAATTAAGGGTAGTTTGAAATTAGTTTAATTGTTAGGTTTTTAAAATAATTAGAGATAGGGAATGCCACTTTACTATTACACATTGTTCAAAATCGAACAACAAATGAGTTGTAGCTCAACGGAAATTAAGTTTATTAATAATAATAGGGTTATAGATTTGAATTATCCAACCTAGCTACCACATATATTCCTATACACAAATGACAGTAGGAATTAGATAATCATTTTTTCAAATTTAAGGGGTGTCCCTCACCATCAATTTTTTTTTGTCCATGCGTAAATTACCAACGGCGGTTGGATAATTGTTTTCCCAAATTTTAGGGGTGTCCCGGAACACCCCCTACCCCTGCCATCAAGACGTCCATCCAAAGAGGCTAAGTGAATTTTTACCTATTGGTTATCATCCATGTCTTGGTGGAGCAATCGTACCATTTCACTCTGGTTGGCGGTTTGCGCCACGGCTGACACTTCCCCTCCGGCGTCGTTGCTCGAACCGTCGTTTGAACCGCCAATCTGGTCAATCTCCACGTTGACCATCTGCTCTTCCTCCACTAAAGTTTGTGGAAGATCGCCCTCGTGATTCCTCCATCGCGGAGCCATTCGAACACACGTGTCCCACTAGGTGTGCCAATTTATTTCGATGGCGAAACACGCATGTTTAATGCTCTCTGTTATCAAAGAAAACAAGAACAAAAAATCAACACAGAACAACTTTGTCAAATAATTATCTCTCCACCGCGGTTCGATCCTCCAAACAACCTCGTCCATCAAATAAACAATGGTGTTACTTTCACTTTCACAATGCGAGCATGCGAGCCTCCGTTCTTTGTCGTTATCATGGGTTCCACATGGTTAGGGTTATCATCCACATCAACTCATCGCCATGTTTAGGTTTTCAACATTGGCAACACCTTAATAGGCCAACGACAAGGTTGGCCCTATGGTGATAAACCACGAACCACTGGGACAACATTGTCCTTTATAGAACAATGTCGTTGCTAGGATCTACGGCTCCACCATACTCACGATTGAACCGTTATGTTGTGTGCCTAGCACTCTCTCTCCATGATCAAACATGTTTGGCTCTAGAAAACTAGTTTAGATAAAAACCAACTTAGTCACTTACTCGTCGACCTTGAAACATTATTTGGGAGCATGCAACCTCACGGCCTTGTTGACCTTCTTGGATCAAAATCATCAATGTCGTAGAACTCTGACTCTATCATCACTTCTTTCCACGAAATCTCCTGCTCATTAAGTTTGCGACATCATTGGAGCTCGGGGAATAGATAGGGTGCTAACTTCATAGGGGGTTAGCACCGTGGTAACTAATATAAAGAAAGGGTAAATTATTAATAGAATAGGATTAAGATTTAAAAGGGATGGGATGGGATGGGAGGCTAACCCCATACCCTGTTAGCACCGTCCTAACCCATAGATCAACTTCCTTTTCTTCCTTCGGCTGATAAAAGGGTTTTTTAGTGTGAGGGGTATTTTTGTCAGGTGAGTTTAATTAGCTGACATCATTGCGTGATATCAGCCGGGATACGTGTGCAAGTTTGTGGTGGGATCCCAACAGTTTGTAGTTTCGGTTTTGGGGTGAGATTTTTTCTTCCCATTTTCCTCTCTAGCCGTCGGACATCTTGACCCAGCGAAGCCGGAGAGTTGCCGACAGTCGTTCGCGTCGTTGTTCGCCTGAACTATCCTCGGTGACGCATCCCTCCCCTCCTCCGACCTCCTCCGCTCCTACGAACTCGATGACGCCCTCCGTT